TAGCCGTGGAGCCGGCGGCATCTGCGCCGCGTCCGGAGGCGACTTCCCTGCGCGCCGCACATCAGAGCCCCTCTTTGAGTGCTGCTTGTGCCCCTTCCCGTCCCTCCTCCCCGGCGCCCAATAAAACCCTCCTTGTTCGAGAGAGCCCTGCAGAGGACGCTTGGCCCGGGCTGGACCTGGCCTGGCATGCGGCCAGCGGCGCCAGGCCACAAGCGGGGCCACCAGCCTGGGCCGCCGTGGCCCCTGTGCGCTCTGGGGGCCTCCCATCCCCATGGCTTCCTAGGGAGCTGCGGCCTTCCGCACTCGATGCTTGTGGGGAGAAGGAACAGAAAGGCCGTGAGTGGCCCTGAGGCAGCCTGGGAACTGCTCCCACAGCAATGAGGAATGGGTGCCGGCAGGGCAGCAGAGCAAGGCCAGGCTGAGCCGGGAGCTGGCGGCCCTGGGGCTCTGCCCGCCCCGCCTGGGCCCTTGCAGCAGGTGTTCAGGGCAACCTGGAGGTATTTTTGGCTGTAAATTTGTCCAGTATCAGTAATTTAAGCTCCAGTTGCCTCCGTGCGGATCCCCTCCTCTGTGACAGTGAGGTGTGACAGGGCGGCCTGTGGCGAAAGGTTTTGGTAGCTCAGCAGTAATCATTGCGATTCTCTCACTTTCCCGGGCAGGTATTCAGGAACATAAACCCACCAGGATGTCCCTGAAGCCGTTCTCGTACCCGCGACCAGAGACGAGGTTCTTCCATGCCGGCTATCTCGTGTATAAATTCAAGATCCGTTATGGCAACCTCAGCAGGTGAGCGCGGCCTGACTGGCTGGGCCACCTGCACCCACAAACAGTGTCACAGCTGCCTTAGGCTGGTTTAGGCTGTTTCAGGCTGTTAGGCTGAGGGTTGTTATAGGCTGTTTAGCTCTCCTGGAGCTTCAAGCTTCTCCTGCAGGCAGAGGGGCTGAGGAGGGCTTCTCTGATGCAGGCAAAGGGCTTTTTGGGGTGAAACGGTAGCAAATAGGAGGCAGCAGCTGCATGGTGGGGCTCGGGTAGGAAGCTGTGGTTAGCAAAGAGCAGGGTAACTAAACCAGAGAGTGCTGATTTAGTCTGGTTGGGAGGGGAAGATGTAACAGAAGGGAAGAGAATGATCTTTTAGAAGCAAAATAATATTTTCCTAGAGGGTGTGGGTCCTGCTTGTACCTGTCAGCCAGGTGTGCGGAGAAGATGAGCCGGTGCTTTTGTGCATGGGCTCCATCAGCATGGGCTCCATCAGCAAAATCAGCGCATTTTGAATTAGAGAGGATTCCCCAAGTCTGTGAGCTCTGGGAATCAGCTTGGTTGGAGCTGCTTGGACAAAAGGACTCAGAGCTGCTCAGGCTTTAGGATAATAATCAAGTCCAAGGTGGTTGTAGGCTGTGTGTCCTGCCAAGGAGCACCCTGTCGCTCTCAAACTTGGTGCGAAACATCATGCTCTGTCACTGTCCCACACTGGCAAGTAGCGCGAAGGCCCAAGGGCTCTGGGCCATGATCCAGCCCCCTGCACTGGAGTGTGGCACCTTCCCGGGCGTTCAGAGCCTCACAAGCTGCTGAGGTTGAGTGTCTTCCCAGAGGACGGCAAACCCTTGCGGCTGGAGCAGCAATGTCACCCATGGACGGAAGGGAGCAGTGCTGGGCCGCCGCGGTCGACAGCACCGAGAACACGGCAGGGCTGGGGCTCCAGAAGCAGCAATCCCCCCTGTGCCTCCCCACGGAGCAGTTATTAGGGATCCTCTGTGGGCATCGAGCTCTGCGTAGGCTTTGCCAGAGCCCAGGTTCACTGTGGAAGTCGTCTGTTAACTGCAGCAGAATTAAAGAGAACCTGCTACAATTATCACGTCAGTTAGACTGTCTCTGGACCCGAGGCTGCGTTTGATCGCGTGCAGCGTTTGTCTGCTTTTTCCCTTGCAGAAGTAGGAATGCTCTTTGGAAGTTTGCAGCATGATTTTACTTTGGGATGCAGGAAAATTTGATTGCTGCTTTGGCTGCACCTTCCCAAACTTCGTTGGAATAATCTCCGATCCGGGAGGATTACTGCTTTTCATTGCTGTGTTTTCCTTGTTGTTTTTGGAGAGGAAGACATGTTACCTGCCTTGTGGCACAGCGTAGTGATCAGAGGATCCCCGAGTGTCGCTCTTGTCCATGAATAATCCCTTTCCTCAGTGTCAGCCCCCCGAGAGGCGCTGCCCGCACTGTGTGTAGGGTTTTTCAGAGTGTTTCTGAGCAGCCTGGAAGAGTCTGATCCCGTGATGGGACGCAGAGCACGTCACCGCAATAGGAGCCTGCACATCATCTGGCTGCCAGACAAAGCTGGCACCAGTCCTTCTTATTGCGCGTGTCTCTTACCCAGAAGGTAAAATAAGATTTTTGGCAATGGGAAGGTCTCCCTCGTTGTGTTCATTAAGCAATGCAAATTTGTCAGTTGTCTCTTTTTGTGCTGTGGTGTGTGCCAGGCTTGGCCCTGGCATCCAGCCCTTGCACGGGAGCTGAGCATGATGTGCAGGCTGGGGAGGGGGAGTGCTTTCTCTTGGTGACTGGAAAGCTGCTGTTTCTTTGCTTTATTGTTGTCAGCTTCCCTCTCTCCTTTGGGCCATAAAGAACCAATCGTGGAGCGTGATACCTGCAGAGCAAAGGAGCTGTGGGGTATCAGGCTGCTGCTTCTGGGTTTGGCTCTCCCAGCAGCCCGGGGAGGCGGTGGGAAACGCCACCAAGAACCAGCAGATCTAGTTTGAGTTTTGAAGTACAAATTCAATTCAATGAATTCAATGTCAAATTCAATGTCATAGAATCATAGAATGCTTAGGGTTGGAAGGGACCTCTAGAGATCATCTAGTCCAATCCCTCTGCACACACAGGGTCACCTAGAGCACGTGGCACAGGACTGCGTCCAAGCGGGTTTTGAAGATCTCCAGAGAAGGAGACTCCACAACCTCTCTGGGCAGCCTGTTCCAGTGCTCTGTCACCCTCACTGTTAAGAAATTTTTTCCTTAAGTTCCTGTGGAACTTTTGGTGCTTCAGGTGGCCATTACCTCTAGTTCTGTTGCTGGCCACCAGGGAAAAGAGGCCAGCACCATCCTCCTCACTGCTTCCGTTGAGGTACTTCTAGACACTGCTCAGGTCCCCTCTCAGCCTTCTCTTCTCCAGGCTGAACAGGCCCAGCTCCCTCAGCCTCTCCTTGTAGGGCAGATGTTCCAGGCCCCTGATCATTCTTGTAGCCCTGTCATTCTTGTAGTCTCTGGAGTCTGAGAAACAGAGCTGCAGAAGCTGCTGTGAAGAGAGAGGCAGAAGAGTATTATGAAGAATAGGAAGCACTTTCAGTGTCCCGCAATTCTCAGCACTGATGGGGTGGTACCCACCATATCCCAGGATTCTTGTAACTTTGTGCAGGATTTTTCTAACTGTGGTTTGGATTCACACGTTACCTGATTTGCAAGTTTACAACTCGGCAGCTTCAATTTTGTTCTACTAGAATTTTAACGGTAACTTAAGCAATGAAGGCCAGATCTGGATCGTATCGAACATGTCTGAGATAGGTATTTGGTGGCTGGCATTTACCTTGGGCTCTTGGTAATTCATGGTCCCTGCTATGTATGACAGGAATCCGATGGCAGCAGGACCAGCACGGTGTTGTCCCTGCCTCCTCCCAGATGTCCCTTCCCCTTTAAAGAAGTGAGGGGGCATCTCCAGCCTTTCCTCGGGTTAGTCCTGGAAAGGAAATGGAAAAAACCTGTCCTGCTGCAAACCCCAGTGTTTGGGGAAGCGGCTCAAAGCCCCGGCCAGCTGCCAAGCAAAGCCCGGCAGTCTCAGCACCAGAAACCTGCAGTTGTCCCCGGGCCAATCCGGGCCGCTTCATTCTCCAGTCTGGCTTCTCTTGTGCGGCCTCAGCTCCTAGTTACACTTCAGCCTGCTTACTTATTTCCCAATAAGTGCTTAGTTATTACCTGTTTATTTCTAAATCACTATTGTGATTGTTTACCTTTTAGTGGACTCTGATTTTTTTATTTTTAGACTTATCTCTCACTGTGTATTTTGTTGCTGGCCAATGCCTAGCAGCCAAAAACTGCTGATAGCTCCAGAGGGGATAGTTAATATCTGGGCAGCAAAGTTCAATGCAGGCAGTTCACAGGGGTGACAAACTGCAGCGCTGTGAAGTCCGGATTCTCTACTGTTCTGCAGAGAAAAGTTCTGCCAGTTGCTTCTTTTAGACCTTTGAATGGAGTGGGATAGCAGTAGACACCGATGCATTAGTTTGGGTCCAGCTTGGCCAAAAGCCATCCGAGTGGTTACTGCAAATTGAAAAGATCACATCTCTCAGGTACTGTATCTACATACACATAAAATACAGAAACTCAAAAGAAACAGTTCTTGCAGAATAATGCACTCGTCTCCAATGTTTAAAAAATCCATCTACGTGCTATTTATTTCATCTGGGTAACAAGAGCACTCCCTGATTTTGACATTTCATTGTTGTGTAAATTCCTGCAGTGGTTGTCGCTCTCCTGCTGCTTGGTTGAGGTAGGACCTCACTCTCTCTCTGCTTGTTCTGCAGTGCTGATGATCCGGACAACGCTGCAAACGCCGCCCAGGAGTTAGAGGTAGGATATGAAGCAGCTCCAGGGGGCCCCAGCTGAATGTGAAGCTGAATAAATCTTGTGTTCTCTTTGAAATGCAGAATTACCCCTGAAAAGGCGAACACTTTCATTTGAAATACTAAAAAAAGAAAGGTCCTAACAAATATAAATTGGCAGAAGTGAAAGATGTGGCGTACTTTAAGGTCATTTGGAAGGAGTGGGGAAAGGAAGGGGAAGACAACGGGCAATTCCTGTGTATCTAGGAGCTACTCCCCACGCAAACTCTAAAGCTACTTTAAAATTAAAGTTACAGAATTGTAGGTGCCTTATTAATATTCTTTCGTCATTTATTTTTTCGGTGTTTGCAGGAAGCAATTCGAGTGATCCTTGGAAATCTTGAGGATTTGCAGCCGTTTTCTACAGACCACTTCACTATCTTTCCCTGTATCCTTTCTTACTCGTAAAATGAAAAAGTCAATGAATTCCATCATTCCATTGCTTAATTCCATTTTCATATCTGGCAGTGTACAGGTCTTTCACTAGAGTCCACTGTCTTTGAGCTTTACAGTTTACATTAGCTGAGGAGCCACCTGTGCTTGTCTCCCCAAAGAACTGTTTTAAAAGAGTGTTTTTCAATGTCCAAAGCAGATTTGGTCAGAGAAAACAAGTCAGAGTATATAGGGAGTGACAGTAAACCCACCTAAAGCAGCAAGAAACAAAACTAGCATGTTGTTTAAAAAGGTTAAGGAATGTTTTATGTTTAATTATAGACTGAACAACTTTGCCCTAGTATAAAAAGTAGTATAGTGTAGCATAAAAATTATATACATAGATGACTGGGAGAAGCGAAAACCACCCTAGAGTGATTTTTACATGGAGAGGTAGTTGAGCTGATCCAGACAAGATCTTGAACACCCAGAGCCCCTGAGCAGTTACTTGTCCCGGTCACATCTCTGATGTAGTCGCTGGGGTCTAGAAATAGAAGTGAAACAAATCTCTTCAATTGGCCTTATCTTGCTTGCAGTACCTTGCTCCTCTGGGACCACTGCTCAGATTTTTTCCTTCCTCCCTCAACTTTCACCTAGCTGTAGCTCTGTGAAAGCTTTGTGCCATGTGGGTACGGAGATTTTTCTCTAAGGAATGCCAGAAAAGTTTTATTGGTAGAACTGGAAGAGCCCAGCGTGTTGTTGCCAGAGGGAGGATGTCTTGGCTAGAGCCCAATAAGGATAAGGGAAATAAAACACATCTTTAACGTAGGCTACGGGTGCCATTGGAATGAACTTGGTTTTTCTAGTGTTCCTAGTGTTTTTCACACAGCTAATGCCCACGGAGTGTGTTTAGTCCCTTGCACAGGCATTTAGCATGGTGCAGTTTGTGAAGCCTTGCAGGGAGGCAGCCCTAGGCCTCCCGGGCCTTTGAGACGTTTGCACTGCCTCTTTGAGCCTTGACATCGCGCTCAGATTTAAGCAGGTGGGAGCAAGTGTCAAAAATGATGTTCAGATATGGGGATTTGTGTCTCACGCCTTATCCCTACATTTGCACTATATATCTAGAAGATAATTCATTTCAGCAGAACATAGCTCTTGGTAAGTCTGCATCATCATTTCTGGATAAATCCTGAGAACAAACTAGTGTTTTCCAGCATGGTGCCATTATTGTTCGTGGAGAAGAAAACAGTTTTCTGCTCTGAGGTGAGTTTTGTCACTGAATTCATTTTGCTGCTGCTTTCAGCTACAACCCTGCACGTATCCACGTTTTCCAGCCCCTTTCTAGGCACCTGGCCAGGAAGTCCTCTAAGAGCAGCAGCATCTGCAAGAAGACAGATGCTCTGCAGCTCTTGCCTGTGGCAGGCTCCAGTATAAACACTTTTGTCTTCACTAATGGTTTCCACTTCAGCCCTTTTATCAGACAAGAAGGCTTAGGAAGCTGCCTCTCACTTTCACCTTCCCATAATAGCACTGCTCCAGTTACTGCTGCAGGTTTTTTTTTTTTTTTTTTTTTTCTTTCCCCCCTCCTCTCTGCCATCACTGCCTGATTTTTAGAAAAAGTATCTTTGCTACCCTGGGACTTGCAGATGACGAGAGGCTAAACCGGTGAATTTCCATCTTACTCCCAGTAGGGTTTGGAACATACTTAAAAAGCCCTGGGAGGCTGAAGGTCCTTTTCTGAAGAAGGAACTGTAAAGAACAGCCACAGTGTTGAAGGAAAGCTCTGGTCTTTCCCATCCCTAAAAGCCAGGAACCACCTGCTCTGTCTCCGGTTCTCTGGAAGCACCGACTCCAGGGAATAATTCCGAAGCCCCAGGAAGATCCTTTGTGGCTCAGCCTGGGGAGCCTGGGCAGCGGAGTGCAGAGCACAGCCTCCTGCTCCTCACACCTTTTCCAGGGTGGCTCCCTGCCTTCCTGAGGCAGTTCCTAAGAGAGAGCTGCTCTGTGCTGTTCTTCCATGGAGCTCTGAAGCTGCTTCAGAAACGTCCCTGCCCGTTTTGCGTCATGTACGATGAGTTTTAGGATGGATTGTGTAAACGAATCCGCAGTTTACTTTACACCTGCTGCTAGATCCCCGAATCTTACCTGCTCTTACCTAGGAGCAGGAGTGAGTGAGGATTCAGCTTCCTCTTCCAAGCAACCATCTTGAATTCCCAGCCTATTCCCACGTACCATGGGTCTGAAGGGGAGCATAGCAGTGTGTTCTGCATCGCTTTTCCAAAATTTTCCATTTACCTTTTCAACCCCTGCTGAGCATTCGGCTGCTATTTGAAGCCTGTGTGAAGCAGCATCCAGTGATTCCAACTTCCATCCCTTACTGCGGCAGCTGGGCTAGAGCCCAGGTGTGCTTAGGTAAAGCTCATTTTTGTCCTTGCTTCTGCTTTGCTACCTGTTTGTTGGCATTGAACTTCACCTGTCATTTCATCACACTCTTTTTTTTCTATTTTTGTAATGAAAAAATGCCATTTTTTTCTAAGTAATGATGATAATAATGTCTTTTGTGTAAGCAGCAACTGTCACTCCAGTCATATCTCATTTCCAAAGTCTGCTCTGAATTTACAGTGGAGATCTCTGCAGGATCCACAGCCGACCTCCTCTGCCATGGAAACTCGGTGTTTATTGTTACCATTTCCTGTTTTAACTGATTATTGATCCCTGAGGAAATCTTTGCTTTATGACCACTTAATAGATATTGTAGTCTTTTTTCCTCTATAAAATGTAATTCCTTACCAGTAATTTGTCTCATCCATTTGCTTGTGTTGTGGCATCTCCTATTGCACATACCATGTGTTGATGTAAAAACTTCTAAACGTGGAGAATCACTCACTTCCCTGAGACCTTGGTAGGATATTTGATCGCCCTCCCCAGCTATTTACACGATATTTCTATTCCAAAATTAGGTCAAAATGCTTGCTGTTCACAAGGCCTTTTCTTCTGGAAAAATACCTGCCTGCCACATGCACCTGAGTTTAGGTGCTCCATATTCTACAGACTCGGTGCCTTTGACTTGTCCTTACACCTTCCATCTGGTGCCTAAAAGACAGACTGTTGCTTGCAGTTCTTCAGTGCCTTTTCTCTTCCAAAATATCCACTAATTTGGTATCCTGGGATACATTACTGTATCCTTTAATATAACCTTCATCTCCTTCAAGAAAATCCAAAGTTGCCATTCCATCCACATGTTTTCACAGGTGAGAATTCTAATTTTGAAATAATTATATTTCCTGATTTTTGTTTTAATTTGGACTTGCCATATGCAAACTCAGCATTGCTTCTAAATATAAAAAAAAATCTAAATTTTATATTCTGAAACTGAGGCAAAGCATTAAAATATATGTTGTTAGAGAAAATCTGTTGAAAATATTCACCAAGTTTATAATTTACATTAACATTTTTAAATTTTACTTTGTAATTACAGGTAAAGAAGCACAAAGGGGAAGTTCCAAGCTTGTAAGTTGAGTATTTTTAAAGTTAAGTTTTTAAGCACGGTATGATGTAAAGTGATACTATTTGGTTAGTGATGCTATGCAGTTATCACTTTTGAGCAAAATTCTCTGGATGGCCTCTCAGTGCTTATCTTCTGTTTGAATAAAGAATCTACTATTTCATACGTTCATCTTTTGATTTTATTTCCCATTATATAGACATCAATACTTTTGCTAAATACTAATGTGCATTAACTCTGGAGTTTGTTATAAAATAGAAAACTTCTCAGAAGTCCCAAGCTAATGTTATCGGTAACAGGTCTGCAATGTTTTGAAGGTCAAGGGAAGAAATGAAAGAGCACAAAGTACTGAGACAGTAGGATCAGTGAAGAGGAGAAGAGTGGAAGATGAAGCAGAGCCTTCGTGGGCAGCGGCAGATACGGACAGGTCAGGATATTGCCCCAGGACATGTGTCACTCCAGTATCTCATGAAGCTTCCCCATATGTCATTACTGGGTAGTTCTTTGCCCCACTCTCCCTTCTTCTCCAGACAGAATTCAAGCAGTATCACCCATGTTTGGAGAAAAGTTATTGCATACTTCCAGGTTGCTGTGCCGTAATATAGAGGATATAAGTGTCCTGTTCAGCTCCTTGTGCTTATAGTACAGAGAGGGTCACAGGGAGGCTTGCAGAGATTTGTTTCATGCAGTCCTTCCTCAAGTACTGCATTTCTCCAAACTGCATCCAGTTTTCAGGCTAAAGTGTAGACACCAGGACTAGGGGCTCTGCTCCCTTATTGGTCTCCCAGTTCCTCTGCAAAGAGAAGTACCACAGAATTTGGACCTTGTTACCTGAATAAATGCACAGTTCTCTATGTAGACTAAGGGTATTTCTCACAGAAGCCACAACTTCCCCAGGTTTGGACTTAGCTAAATGTTTGGAAAGAAAAAATGATGACTTGGTTCATGTTTTGTGGGTGAAAATACATGTGATTAAAAAAAAAAATAGAAAAATAAACGATTTCTAACGTGAGGACCAACAGAGTAGTTCAGACCAATGGTCCATCTAGCCCAGTCTCCTGCTCTAGCACTTCTTCTTTTACCTGTAGGAAGAGGTGAAAAACAGGACAAATATTTATGAGCTCCCAGGCACTCTTCCAACATCTAATTACTTTCAGCTTAGAGGATTTGCTAAGGTTAATGTGGTTTGTCCAGTGAATAACCCTCCCAGCATCTCTTTTCCTATGTGCGTTTGTCCAGCCTCCTTCGGCAGCCGTGTACCTTTTTTACAGCTTTTTAAAAGACCTTTGAACTTTTTTGGGTCACCTTCTGTTGGAATGAAAAATCTTCTTTCTTCATTTTGAGTCTACTTGCTGTTAACTTAATCAAATGGGTTTATCTGGTTCTTGCGCTGGGAAAGGGAGTGACTGCTCAGTGTCTCTCTGCTCTCTCCTTGACACTTGGATTTTTTTAAGCATCTCATATTCCTGCTAGTGTAATATATGTTTTTCCTGGTTGTCTATTTTTATTTTACTGCTTTTTCTCTCAGGTCTTGTAGGGTCCTTCTGTAGTTCTTTGCTATCTACCTCCTCTTTATGTGAATAACTTTGTAGCATTTTGCAAGCTTTCTCAACACGCTTCTCATCCCCTTTTCAATGTCAATTAATATTTTTGTTCCCTCTAACTGCTTGCATGTTTTAGTGAAAGAGCAGAAATCTAACATCTGATGTAAGTACATTTTTTAATGAAAATTTGAAATAAGAGTCACGAATATATATTAGGGGTGTATATCTTATTGCCTAGAGGTCCTAAAAATCTTTAAGTGTTTGTGGTAGTTGTTTAAGTATTGCTTCCTTGTGGTTTTTTTTTTTTTTTTTTGTAGACTCAGTTCTCATTTATCTGACTTCTTTTTAGAACAGGGGCTGGGTGTGTTCACAGCACGAACAAAGCAAAGCTTGGATCTGAAGTGGTAAGTTACAGAAGATTCAACAGCATTTGTTTAGTTCTAGATCCTTAACGTCTGCTGGCAGGTAGCAGGACATGGGGAATGTGTGAGGATCTTTTTTGTGTGTCACGAGGATGCACTGGAAGTTGTTGTAATGACACGGTGCTAAGGCACTTACCCAGGGAGCAGGGGACCTTGGAGGTGTCTGAATGAATGAAGGGCCAGGCTACGTGTTTTGCCACTTACAAAGTGCGTCAGGAGAAGCGGAGCAGAGTTGGAAATATATTGCTGAGGAAAGTCCTGATAGTCGCAGTCAAAAAATCACGGCATGGGAGAGTATGACTTGCATTTTAGTTCTTTAAGCAAGCAAGCAAACAAAAATCTTTTGCCAAATACAATTTGACCTTATGTAACACTTTTTTTTTTCTTTGTTTTTCCTTTCAGAGCTACTGCAAAGGAACTGAGAGTGAGTATAGCCCAGCATCTCCTACCATAGGCTGTAACCGTAAGAATGCCCATAAGGAAATCGCGGATTGTTTCTCACCAACTATGTTTGAATTGGTCACATTAAATTGAAAGCAGCAAGGATCACACTGGGACTGCTGCACGTCAGAGCAGGAATCTCAACCCAGTAATGCAGTAACCACCATGACTTGGGCTGAGAACCTCGTTCAGCATCACAGTTCTCCACCCGCATTGCTAGGCTGAGAACCCATGCTGCATGCTAGGTGGGAGTTCCAGTCACAACCCGTATCCGTCACGATTCCCTTAAAAGTGGCCAGGCCTTGTGCCAGTCTGAGCTCGCCCACATCGCCCGCTCTTGGGCTCTGTCACTGGGTGGCCATGGGGTGTGCAGGGAGGGAGCTGGTATCTTAGTTTTGCTGCTCTTCCTTACAGGGTTCCCCGTGGAATGCAACACAGAAAGAAAGGCAGAAACCAGTCCGGCTGCAGGTGAAATGCAGCCACCACAGCAAAGCGACCAAGTCGGAAACGAGGCAGATCCCGAATCGAAAGGCAGAAGTTTCTCCGGGTTCTGCAGAAGGTGCTAACGCTGCGGCCCTGGGCAGCACTGGCTTTCTCTTGGCTAGGGCTGAGAACTGCTTGTGTCACCTTCTTTCTTATTTACCAAATTTTGAAGGAAAACTCTTCCTGTGGTTTGTTCACCCACTCCTGGGCAGAGCAGACATCCTTAAGCAAACGTCAAATGAGCAAGTTTGGGTGCAAGTGAGACCCTTCAGCTGCGGTAGCAGGGAATGTCCTGGGTGCTGATTCGCTCTCCTGAGAAGCCCCTTGACCTGGCAGGACCGTGTCTGGTTGTGGTTCTGGTCAGTTCGGGTGGTTTTACAAGGTGATTACCTTGAAGAGTTGATAGGGCTTTTGCTAAATGTTAACAAAACATTCACCGATGTCCTTTCTTCTTGCAGTAAGAGGCCCATTCCTAATAAATGTGCCATTCTCGGTGGTTTTTGGGGAAAAAAACACTTTAGGGCTGAGGTCCTCACATCCATATGGGTTGTATCACGTGAGTTCTGTCAGCATTAGGAGGCTTGAACACAGAAGCACCTCCCTGCTGACAAGTTCCTCAAACCATGTCCCTAGAGTGTCCCTAACTGCGCACTCTGCAGCCTGCCAGCCACGTCCTTTGGCAGGAGGAGCTGGGAGTAGCCTCCTGGGAGGTTATTTAGTCCCTGCAGGGTGGCATTTTGCCTTATAGCCTTAACACCCTCCAAGCCTTCTTGCCACTTGAGAAGTTTGTGCAGTTTATGTTGCAACAAATTACAGAGAAGGGCAAGCTGAGCAGAAGCGTCCTGCCACTGCACAGGCCGTTCTTACCATCGGCACCGTTGCTCTTACCAAGCTGGGGCAGCCTCAGACACACGTTTCAATAGGAGTTTGCCCAAATACTTTAGATCTCCTGATTCCTGGGACATCCCAGCGCTCGTCTCCTGCCTCACCTCTGCAGTCAGCCAGTCTGAGCTACTTGTAGCTGATGCCACATAAATATTTAAGGACACACACCCCCCCCCCCCCCTTCTTTTTCCAAGTCCTTTTGTTATTAAATTCATAGATGATCCCCATTCAGATTTGCAATTAGCCCATTCTGACCCCAGCTTGCCGTGGCCTTAGCAATATCTATTTCCATCTTATCCTGAGGAATGAATTTGGGCTGACCAGGATGAACAACTACAGTGACTGGTGGATGAGTCGCAGTTTGGTTTTATTAAGAAATAAATATTCATATTGGCTGTATTGTATGCCAATATTAAGGCTAGGTCGTTGTAGCTTGAGTTAGTCTTTATGTTACCTCTCTTCATTTTTTTTCTATCTTATGCTATGCCAGGAACAGTGTCATTGAGGGAGGCAAAAATAACATTGCTTTTAAGCTTCTCAGAAAAAAATATTTTGTGTGTAATGTGCTCTTCTGGTTTTGTTTCCACAGAATATTCTTCTCTCCATTGCAGCGTTTTTTTGGTGGAAATAAGTGACCGTCAAAGTATTAATTGTGGTGCAGAGGTAACCTTGTAGTGTGGATGTCAGTTCTTGTTTCTTTGTTGTCCCTGTTGTTCTTCTGTAATTCATCTTTTCGCGTTGTTTGTCTCAACTATTAAATGCAATGTTACTTGGTTTTGGAAAAAAAAAGAGTAAAAAATGTTGCATTTTTGTTCTTTAAATGTGATAAATAGAATTTACATGTTAAAAACATTATATGAGGTTCTGATAAAACAAACATCAACTCAGAAGCATGTGTTCTTTTTTCCTTATTCTTATGCAGTCTGAAATTACTCTTTCCATCCAAGAAGAAGTAATTTTTTTTTTTTGGAATTAGATGTATTTCTATGCTATGCCTCGCAGAAGTGAAGAAGTTGAATATATTTTGCATTATATTCTTGCATTGCTTCAGTTATTGATACCTACACAACAGCCTAAGGTATTGTTATACCTGATCATTATGTTTGCAATTAAAAACGAGACCAGTGTGTTTGCATTTAGAGCAAACCTCCTTCTCCAGGCCCCTCCTGACAGGAGGCCCCAAGCACAAGGACGCGCACAACACTGTGGCTCCGGTTATGTGGAAAAGAGGATTTCCCGGTTTTCCTGAAGTTCTGAGCAAAAAAAGGGCCTTTCCCTGATTTCTTCGTTGCTGCCTTTTTATGGTTAGGAATAAAGTGGAGGCACGGGAAGGACACGGTTTTGTTAGCTTGAGAGCCCTAAGGGCGTTGTTACACAGTCAATCCTGCACTTTACATTGTAGCCAACGGGATTTGTCCAAGGCCAGGTCCTCGCGCTGGCCCTGCCGCGGTAACGGCGCGGGGCGGATCCTGCCCCGAGATGTGCGCCGGGATGTGCGCCGGGATGTGCGCTGGGATCCGTGCGGGGCCCTGTACAGCCCGGACTCCTGGGTCCCTCGGGGGGAGGAGGGGGCA